TCTCATTTAACGTCATATTGAGAAAAAATTAAATTGATCTAAAGCCTAGACCATTAGTGGCACTGAGGGCAATTGGTTGGGGGCCCCTCCAGGTTTGGGGGCCCTAAGCAGTCATCTACTTTTGCCTAATGGTAGCACCGCCTCTGACCTGTTGTAGTTCCAACTGAGCCAGCTCTTTCTTGTCAGATTGTGTTAAAATAAAGCTTTAAAGATGAAGTCTAAATTGAGTAACAGTGCTTCTAACAGAAATTGCTCTGAGGCCTCAACCATTAGTGGCACTGAGGGCAATTGGTTGGGGGCCCCTCCAGGTTTAGGGGCCCTGGGCAGCAGTCTACTTCTGCCTAAAGGTAGCACAGCATCTGACCTGTTGTAGTTCCAACTGAGCCAGCTCTTTCTAGTCAGATTGTGTTAAAATAAAGCTTTAAAAATTAAGTCCAACTTGAGTCACAGCGTTTCTAACAGAAATTGCTCTAAGGCCTTGGTCTTAGTGGCACTGAGGGTAATTGGTTGGAGGCCCCTCCAGGTTTGGGGGCCCTAAGCAGCCACCTACTTTTGCCTAGTGGTAGCGCCGCCTCTGACCTGTTATAGTTCCAACCGAGCCAGCTCTTTCTAGTCAAATAGTGTTAAAATAAACCTTTAAATATTAAGTCTAACTTGAGTCAAAACATTTCTAACAGAGAAGTGCTTCCTTTTAACGTCACAACCTCAGGAAATATTGACAATCAGCTGCGAAGTATCAATCCAATGGCATAACCCGTGAACACATGTACTCGTATGTGCCAAAGTGGGCCCCTATAGCACTTCAGAATAACATGTTTACTCACTATTCTCCATTTCCACATGTGAGCGACATCATACAGAGAGATCGGAGAATATTGCTCTGTCTTGTTTACACAGGCAAAGCAGGGATGGCTCCGAGCCCACAAACGCCTGGCCAGAGTAAACCGGCCGTGTTTGAGGTCAGAAATAGAAAATAATATTATTCTTCAAACAGTTTTATGGTATGAGCAAGCACAGTGACCTTTACAAGAGACAGGTCCAGAGGAGATATAGGATTACATATGGTCAAATGAGTTCCGCTTACACTGCTCCCACACTCAACACGATGTAAACGTTGGGTTAGAAGAATCCATTTCCAAACACCGATATGTTCTTTTTGCTAATTCTAATATTGATAGTTATTGTGTAATTGGAATTATGTATCATTAACACAAAATTTGAGGGTTAAATTTGAGTTGCTTGATAATACACTTACAATTTTTGAAACAATTTATTTTCAAATCCTCAATTGTTTTGTGTTTTTTACATACTTTTTACATACTTAACAAAGTATTTGAATAAGCACACGTTTTACTATAATCATTTACAAGTGATAAACCTACGGATATACAAAGATGTGATTGCTCTGCTTGGAATGTTCCGCAGTATGACATTAAATGGATCTACGTCAGAGAAGTAGATGCCACGAAAAAGGCAAAGGCAAAGAAGTGGACTTAAGGAGTGTGTCCGTAGTGTCCAGTCAAATGAAGCTCACCGAGGCTTGCAGTTACAGGATCGAATCTGGATCCAGTTCCGTTTTAGGAATAGGAATTAATTTACAAACAAAATAGCAAAATAAAAATACCAGGATCATGTAGAGTGCGTTAGTATGAACATTTTAAGACCACAATGACAAGGGGTGACAATTTTTCAATATAAAGTCAATTAGAACCAGAACTGATGGAGCCGAAAGTGCCCCCATGCTCACTTCCTATTTGGAATGTGGCGTTAGCTCTGACCATTTATATATATACATTCTATAGTTACAAGTCAGATCTGTGGAGAGGCTGCTCTAAACACTGAGCCTCTGTCGCCTCATAAAACACCAGTAAGTGAATACAAAATACTGCAGATACGTTGAATATCACATTGTGGAACATCCAGGCATTACAATAACATCTCTACGGGAAAAGCAAGCCTCTACCAGAAATGCTCCATAGTGCATCTTTAAACTGCCACTAATATGAAAAAACTAAACAAAAAACATTATAAAATAACCAGGAATGACAAATTGGAAGCTCCATTGCCCCAAGATGCAAACGTAACACCAGTGAACATGTGTCTTGTGTAGGGTGACCAGATTTTCAAAATAAAACACTGGGACACCCCGAGTTTGGGTTTGTAATAATAAATTTGTAAAACAAGTCTGTAATTAAGGAAAATTCACTCTGTAATAGCACTCAGCAATAAAGTGAGTCAGTATAGTCACTTTTTAAGCAGCTTTTTTTGTATTTGACCTAAACAAGTGACAATTTATGCCTCTCTTTACTGTTGGCAGGGATCAGATTGGTCAAAAACAGGGACATCTGTATTTTAATTACATATGCTTCTGTTATGTAAATCATATATAATGTGAATTTAAACTTACTGATTTAATTTAGTTTTTTTAAATTTTATGTTTACAGTGTATTTTAATGATTATCTGGCACCAACTGTGAGCTTGTCCTTGTTGTTTTTGTGTGTGTTTGGTCTAAATTGAAAATGTTGATTAAAAAAAGAAAAAAAAAAAGGGACACTTGGGACATTTTTTGTATAAAACTGGGACAAATCACTGGTTTTGGATAAATTTGCTGGGACAGGGGAGACAGAGCTCAAAACTGGGACTGTCCCGGGTAAATAGGAACGTCTGGTCACCCCGGTCTTGTAGGTCATTAAAAATACAATTATGTAACAGTAAAAGTCATAACAGGAAATGCTTAATATTGGATAAAAACCCAGAGCTATGCAGAGAAGACATACTGTTGCTGGTAGCATTGTCCAAGGTTGTCCCATAGTGGCCGTTGCCCCCTAGTGTCCATCCAGTGTCTTCTATAGTGAAAATACATTCACGCTTCATACATACAAACACACCCACACACACACATTACACACACACACACACGTTTACAGTCAGTATCATGGCATGGCGCCCCCTCCTGGCCTCCTTCGAAAAACCCCGGGAGCTTTAAAGCAACGTACAGAATGGGGGGACCGTCTGAAACACAATCAAAAGGAATGTACAAAAGGCACGATTGAACCCAGTGCTCCTGTTCTGTGAGATTCAAGTGTAGATGAGTCTGTAACATGGCTGTCGTAGCGCTTAAGGTCTACAGGGGGCCGCAACGTTGGTGGCGGCGGTCAGGAACGGTTCGCGGATTAGCCAAAAGAGGTGATCGTCAGTGAAGGGAGCGAGAAGTTAAGCGAAAATCTATGGCGAAGCTTGAATTATGACATTATAATGGGGACATACGGGAAAAGAAAGCTACCATACAACTAACTTAACGGTGCACTGTGTAACTTTTTGGTTGGAGGTCCGTCACCTGCTTGTTTCTATGGATACGTCATTGCTCTGTCTAGAATATTCCACAGTATGACATTAAACAGCTCTACTTTACATTTATTCGATTGCAAGTGGTTGTTTGACTCAAATATACCTCGAAAAACAGGCGTTCTGACTGGGAGCGGAGTCGCCTTTCCACAGATCTGACCTGTAACTTGGTCTGGTTTGGTCTCCATGGAGATAGAAAGGTTTAAGAATATCTCCATGTTGAAAAGGGTTCGACGGACCCTTCACCAGAAAAGTTATAATCATTTAAGTGGTCAAAATTTGGTTTATTGTTTTGTTTTGACCCGATTTCACAATTATAGGCTATTTAAGATTTTTGCTTTACGTCAGCTTTGTCTTGTTTAATGCCAGACTTTGGAACCTTTTACAGGCAAAGCAGGAACATTGCTATGGGCAAAAGCTGGTGTACACCCTCTGTCAGGTTGTTACTAGTCAAGTCCGTGAAGTAAAGACAAATGTTTGCAATAAAGTCTATTCTGTGACTGAAATCGTACGAGGTGGGGATTAACGTAATAATTCGCAAAACTTTAAAACCAGTTACACGCACATAATGTTATCTGCGCGGCTTACAATTAGCAGATGCTACGAGCTAATACTAGCCTTCAGAGAGTATTTTGCATAGCCTCAAAAACAGTGGTCTTACAATGGACTTTGCATATTTGATGTTACTGAGGCGCTCTACAAATCGAGGATAACATGCATAGCCACGAACTGGGTTGGTCCGAGTGAACTTTTGAACGGAAACTTAAAATTCTTTGTAGAAATGACATAAATCGTTAAATTACTCGTATTTTGTAGTTAAGGCGGTGGTTCTCAATATCTGGTACATGTACAGGCTCCTTCTGGTACTACTCAGTCAGGGCCTTGTAGTTAGGGTGACCAGGTTTTCAAAATAAAAAACTGGGATCTCTGTTTTGGGTTGGTAATAATAGAATTGTGGAATTAAGGAAAATTAATTAAGGAAATTTGTTATGCACTCGGCACAAATGTGAGTCAGTATAATCTGTGTATTATTCATTCATTCGTTTTTCTTCATTATTTGTCTCCAAAACTAAAATGAAAAAACGGATAATGATTCTTTTTTTCAGTTTTTGATTTTGTGTTTAAATGAATAATGGAAAAAACAGATAATGGTTGTTTCCCGTTTCGTGACTTAAACTGCGATGCTGGACTTTTGCGCCGCATACAGACTGAACCAGGACTGATCCAGGACTAAAACAGGTCTAAACCAGAACTGAGTGTTGGGATGGGCCCGGAGGTGCGCCCATGTAGACTGGTGATCAGGACTGAGATCGGGACAAGGCTGGGACCATACCTGGAACAGACCTGGACTGAGACCAGGACTGAGAACAATTTAGACCTGGTTTAGACCTGTTTTAGTTCTGTTTTAGTCCGTATGCAGCATAAAAATCCGGCATTGCAGTTTAAGTAACGAAAACAAGAAACGGCCGTTATCTGTTTTTTCTATTTTTCATTTAAACACAAAACGAAAACTGAAAAAAATTAATCATTATCAATTTTTTCATTGTGGTTTTGAAGACAAATAATGAAAAAAAAAAATGAAGAAAATAGTTGTTTTTTGTTTTTGTTTTCTTATTTTTGGTTTTATTTTGAAAAACAAATGATACACGGATTCAGTATTTTCTTTGTGTTTTGGTCATTTTTAAGCAACTTTTCTGTATTTTACGCAAACAAATGACACTTTATGTTTCTCTTTACTGTTGGCAGGGATCAGATTGGTCAAAAACTTGGGACATTTCTTGTATAAAACTGGGACAAATCACTGGTTTTGGAAAAAATCAGCTGGGACACGGGACATAGGGCTCAAAACTGGGACGGTTTGGGGGAAATAGCAAAGTCTGGTCACCCTATTTCTAGTCCTAGTCCTGTTTTTTGTTTAGCAAGTTAGCTTAGCTTGTTAGCAATTCTTCGCACGAGGGTTTTTAGCGACAGTCACCTCTTAAGGCTAATTCGCTAACGTTTCCCAACCACCACTGGCTTCTTCCCTTCCGTAATATCCAAAAATATCCAAACTCAGTGCACTGTCCTGTTTCTCAAAGTTAGCTCGCGGCTAACGTACGTCATTCATTCGAGTCTGGAGAATACTAGCCCTGGCTGTTGAACGCGAGCCCGGGTGTTAGCATAGCAAGTTCTCAAGAGGCAGCCAGGTCCAGGGAGCACCTCTTCTTCCACGATATGCCCTCGAAACAATTATAGTGGTACCCCAATGTAAGCACTGCCCCGTTAGCAGATGGGACAATGGGGTAAGTTAGCCGGTCCGACAGTAGGGGGCGTGGTGTCATCGTCCCCTCATTTCAAGTCTTGTGGTCCATACAAAAACACGCCTCTTCTTCCACTTTATAACATTAGATAGTCCCCAAAACGAAGCTCCGCCCCTTCTCATCCCCGCAACCAATAGTGTGACAGGGTAGTCGGGCGGTTCGACGGCGGGGGGGGGGGAGGGCGTGGTCTAATCGTCCCCGCCTCCGTAGAGATCGGCTAGTTTGCGAAAGCGCGGGCCCCAGTCTCCGAGGTAGTCATAGTCCTGGTCTCCGCAGCTGGAGCCGGAGTGCAGGGAGCTGAGGGAGCCCGCCGTGGAGCCGCTGCCCTCGTAGTCGAACACCAGCAGGGAGTCGTAAGGGGGCGCTGTGGGGTCGTTGTCTGCTGCCTTCAGGCCCTGGAAGAACAAAAGAGGTACAAGATATATCTGATTATGAGAAAACAGATGAAGGAGGCTTAGGCTACGTTCAGACTGCAGCCTGAAGTGACCCAAATCCGATTTTTTTGGCTCCTATGTGACCTGTATCTGATCTTTTAATGACAGTCTGAACGACACAGGTCCGATTTTTTCAAATGCGATCCAGGACACTTCGATATGTGCTCCTAAAACCGATACATATCCGATCTTTTGACATGCGACTTCAGTCTGAAAGGCCAAAGCACATCTACACGTTAACAACAAGCCACAAACGTCACTATTCTGCTCTGAAGTACGTGAAAATTGTTAATGAACTCTGTGTCACTGAAGCGATCTCAATCTCCTCCTTAAAAAAGTAAGTTGTACATGTTCTGGCTCCGGTACGAGAGGAACTTTAAAATCTCCAGGTGCTCAATGCTGCGTCCATGTTTAGACAACTTCCGTAAACACAGAGCACGCTCACTGCGGTTGACGTCATCGTGTCCTCCAGTGCACATGCAGGACACTTTTGGGCTGTTTAACGTTCACACTGGAGATCACATACAAGTTGCATTTAACTGGAAATGTGAACGACCTCGCAATTTCACAAAAAAATCTGAATTGAGCATTAAGCCCTGCAGTCTGAACGTAGCCTTAGTAACTACCTAAATGTGCTATATTGCACAAAATGGACTCGTGTGAGGTTTTAGCCATGTTAGAATACTCTTTCACCTTGTGATGTCATTGAGCTGTAGTTTTGAAGTTAACAGCTACCCTTTAACCTTTAGTTCAGTAGAGATCGGCAGTTCCAAGGCTGAAATGATCCAAATTATTCTAGTGAGGGTGTATGGAGTTTAAAAGCACAGTGGAGCACTTCCTGTTGTACCACATAGGTCCTAAGAGGTTATTCTAGTGTAGGGATGGGCAATTATTTTTTTCATGGAGCCACATGAGAAACAGAAAATATTGTGGAAGGGCCAGGCCAAAATGCTTAACTCAATTCTGCATACTGTATTTTTCAGAGTTTAAGTCGCACCAGCCAAAAAATGCGTAATGAAGAAGAAAAAACATATATAGGTTGCGCCAGCCTATAAGTCACAGTTTTGGGAAGAAATTTATTTAAAAAAATCAGAGACCAAGAACAAACATTTCATCTTGAAAGGCAAGTTATAGTAAAAACAAAAGAACAGAGAACGACAGGCTGAATAACATAACATATTAACAGTTATTATCTATAGATACCTATAGCATAAACAACATAACAAAAGTAAATGAACTGAATTATACTTGAATTCTTCATCCTCGGTGTCACTTCTGAGCATCTCCACCAACTCTAAATCTAGCTTTTGGCCTGCAATTAGCTTTTTTTTTTTTTTTTTTTTTTTTTTGCAATTAGACAATCCTCCACTTCTCACCAGTCCCTCACAAGTTTCTCGCTCACTCCAAACTTTTCGGCTGAATATTTTGCTACTTGCAGCAGGACAGTGGCTCGTTCTGCAGGAGACAAGCGCAGTAGCGAGTGACAGTGGTACAGAATAATTTGATAGGAGCATGATGGGAGAGGCAGATGCTGACACACATTCCTAGAGCAAGTTCTGGTGGCACTGAAGGATGAGTTAAATACAGAAGAGAAATTTCAGATCAGCAAACTTAACAATAGCAACACCCTAAAAAGTCTTAATAAAGCATATAGAAAGACTTAATTCACAATCAAATAGTTTATTAAGAATGATTCAGGCTTAGTAAATACTGAAATACTGTGGAACGTCTTGAGGAGATGATATTGCTTTGAGTCGAATGTTCCAAAGTACGGCATTGGCTGGTTTAATCCTCAAAAAATGCCTCCTGTAACTTGGTCTTCTGCTTGTCTCCATGGAGAACTTCTATACAATACAGTGGACCATTCGAGGAACATAATAAACATTTCCATGAAGACAAGCAGGTCAGGATTAGCAGTTAGGATTAGGGTATTCAGTAATCAAGCCATAAAATTCAACCCAAAATTTGTCTTCTACATTTGACTTCAGTGTCAGAAGAACAACCAGTTAAGGACCTTGAGTTAAAGCCACCAAGCCTGTACCCGAACCATGAGTTTTTTGAACCATGAGTGAAGAAATTGTTTGAGAAATAACATTATCACCACCCATTTTGTCCCTTCTCTCCATGACAGAGAAACAGCTAGGACTTTCTGGTAAGTAATATTGACTGCTTCACTATTACATTTAGTAGATTGTTTGCAACTGTCACTGAACTAAGGATGCAGAATAAGAGAATAATAACAGCTTTACTTTTTTTTTTGACAAGGTTACTTTTACAACACAGTTAGCAGCACCAAACACAATTTCAGCTCAACAAGAAGACACTTCACTGATAAATCTGATAAAACTGCAATAGAAGAAATGATTCAAAAGCTTGTGAAGAAGTCCTTGATAGTCAAAGTAATTGTAAGCAGTTTTTTAGGTTAATTGAGTTCATTGCAAATATTTCACCAAGATCAGTCCAGATACTGAGTGAGGCTTTTAGAGAACAGCGTCTATTATTTGAGTCGACTGATAGTGTACGAATTTGGATTAAACCATTACAATGACTTTGAGACAGCGGTACACTTTAAAGGTGACGTAACAGAGTTTTACAGTCTTAAAAACGTGAAAATCAAAACTACTTCATTTTAAACTCTGTGTTGAGGTCCAAAGTTACACCTTATGCGTTCCAAACATCCCAAGGCGACGTTCAGACTGCAATCTGAAGTGACCGAAATCAGATATTTTTTCGCCACTATGCGACCTGTGTCTGATCTTTTAATGACAGTCTGAATGACACAGATCCGTTTTTTTCAAATGCGACCCAGGCCACTTGGATATGTGGTCCTAAAACCGATACATATCTGATCTTTTGACATGCGACTTCAGTCTGAACGGCCAGGTCGCATTCATCCCACCTACACGTCAGGCTCAGAGTCTAGTCAATGGAGGGAAAGTGAGGTTAGTGAGTTTTTTAATTTGGGGTGATCGCTGTATTCAGGCCAAATTGGAGGGGTCTTATTGGAACTGTTTTTTTTAATGATTGCCAAAGAAATGTCTGAGCGCGGCTAGAGGCGGTCCTAGCTCCAATGTCAACAAAAAATAAAGAGCCTGCGAGGCAAATACAAGGAGGATAAAGACTCAAACAAACGAAATGGCTGTGGACGTGTAACCTGTCCATTTGACCAAGAACTGGACCGTATTTTGTGAGACAAGCCCAGTGTTTAGGCAACTTCCGTAAACAGTTGCATGTGGCATTGTTGTGTCCTCCAATGCGCGCACATTTGGGGCGTTTAAAGATCACACCGGAGATCACAAACAAGTTGCGTTTAATTGGAAATGTGAACGACCTCACCGAAAAAAAAATCAGATTGAGTATTAAGCCCTGCAGTCTGAATATAGCCTAATTGTATCCATGATGAGTTTTGACTTTGAGAGTACAGTTTCACACCAGAATAAAGTTAACAACAGCTAGCATGCTAACCGTACACTTCCTGATTATAGGCCAATAAAACGCTTTACCATTAGACGTGCAGACAGTACATTATTTATATACTTATATTGACCTCAAGATAAATTCCTTTAGCTTTCACAGTTAAGATAAACACAACTAGCATGCTAACTGGGCACTTCCTGATGATAGGACAATGAAATGTTTTACAGTTACAGGCAAACAGGACACAGCAGACTTATTTTGACCTCAAGAGCTGCTTATACAAAATATCTGTACTGTGGCAAGACACATTTTGCTCAAATACATGGGAAAAATTTGATAAAAAATTGGATACTAGCAACAGTTAGCATGATAACCGTGCACTTCCAGCTTCATTCTCCCATATCAATTAGTTTATAAGCGCTTTTCGCAACTTTCAATGATCAGAGCTCTTTTTTTGTGACAATAAATCTAACAAAAACAAACATACCGACCGCGCGCTCACTGATTTTTACGACAATAAAACACTTTGCAGTAAGATGCCGACAGCGCATCCTGGACTTATTTTGACCCCAAGAATTTGTTTGTGGAGCTAATTTAACTATTGGCAGATATAGTGAAATAGTCTGACATCCTACGCGTTGCAAAATGGGAAAAACTGGAGTGTCCTTGTGCGTCTTTTGTCTTCACTCTCTCAGCGTGCAGTGGGGGCTTTTGTTAAATCGCTCGCGTTGATAAGAAAGTCAAAAGAATGTTTTCATTACACCGAGCGAATATTGCGCGGCTCTGTCTCTTTCACGCAGGATTAAAAAGGTATAAAAGAAGCAAAATCCGTATTACGCTCTGTACATTTTAGCTTTCAGTTCAACCGCTGTGGGACTTCAAATATAGTGTAAAGATATAAGAATGCTGCCTTCATATTAAAACATGTTCTATTGTTGTGGGTAGGAGTTTTAAATAATATAATTAAACACTGGGTTATATAAATGAGAAAACATCAGTGGTGGAATATAACAAAGTAAAAGTAGTAGTATTTTTGGTATCTATACTTTGCTTAAGTAGATTTTTAAGTTGATACTTTTTACTCTTACTTCACTACATTTTAGAGCAAGGATCTGTACTTTCTACTCCACTACATTTTTCAACTGGACTGAAAAATATAAGTATTTTTTATTTTAGTCTGAGACCTTTTGAAAAGGCCGAGGAGCTTATTTTTAAAATGTTTGAAGTTTGAACAAAGAAAATACAAATTAAAACCTTCATGTTTTACTCTTTAAGTACTTTTTAAAAAGGGTAGTTTAATACTTTAACTTAAGTAGATATTTTCATGTGATACTTTTACTTTTTTTTTGTTCCAGTATCTGCATGTTTACTTCTTGTGCAATCATATGGTTTGGTTCTGTTTTAATCCTTTAGTTTAGGTTTAGTCTCAATGTAGACTTGGTTTTGTTCTGGTCTAATTGAAGTTTAGCCCTGATCTAGTCCAAGTTCAGTTTTACTTTCAAGTTTTGTCTCAATTCTGTTATAATTTTGATTTGGTATATGTA